TGTATGCTCAGTCCGAGCTGAGCCGGGGTGTGCGTGTGCAGGTGCTGGCGCAGGGCCACTTCGAGGACCTGCTGGAGGCCGCCAAGCTGTTCTCGCTGCACGAGGCTGACTGAACGACGCATTTATACCGAACTTGTAAATAGTATTGAATAAACGTAAACACGCACATTACTTGTTTTATTTTAACAAACAGCGATTCACAAAGTAGCAAGTAAATTTTTGTTTTTATACTTTTGACACATTAACATAGCGGACTGATTCAAGTTTCAAGATCAACATTTTCAAAGAGTTTCACAAACTGATTAAGTTAAATTGAAGGCTCGATTAAAAGCAAGTTAAGTTTTACAATCGTAATGTTTGGGTAAATTGTTACGACACTTCCGGCCGTTGAGAGCTTAATTAACTTCAAGTTCCAAGTTTATAAGTTTTATTATATATTATTATAAGTTATATTATATAATTAAGTCCAAATTATTAATGACTAGGTGTTGCTCGCGACTTCACCTTCATTAAATTAAAAAAAAAATATTACAGATAAATTACTTTTCTGACGGTCAAAGAATTTTTGAAATCAGCCCAGTAGTTTTTGTGTTTATTTTAATACATACAAAAATACAAATTTTTCCTCTTTATAATATTATTATAGATTAAGATTTATTCTGTTGCACATGTTTTGTTAGGAATGATGATTGATGAATAAAAAAGCTTTATTCAATGAGATTCTCTCAATTCTCATTTGAAATAAATAACACATTTTTTTTTAATTCTCAATGTTTTGTGGCCAAAGACCTTTTCATCGCTGCAGGACTGTTGCCGTTGCTACAACGTTGAAACGTTTAAAAAGGGATTCGACAACTTTCCAAGGCATTCTGTGAATATTCTAATAAACAACCGACAGATTCAGTACAAGAGACAGTTTGTTACAGCGCTAGGCATCACTTTAAATAACAAGGGTCTTATTAAAAAAGTGTCAAGTCGTAAGCTCCTACGTGACATACAGCTACAGCTCTAATCCTGACTAAAGTTACGACACTGGAGCCACCTCGTATTAAAGTAAACAAAAATATCTATTTCTGTAAAAAAGCGTACTAAATGTATGATCATATGCTATTTAAAACACTTGCTGATGCTCGCGACTTCGTCCGGGTGAAACTAAAACATATAGCCTATGTTACTCACAGATAAATTACCTTTGTAATGGTGAAAGAATTTTTGAAATCAGCCAAGTAGTTTTTACGTGAATCGAATACATACAAAAATCCAAAAATACAAACCTTTCCTCTTTATATTATAATAATTGTATAGATAGTATAGTTAAACTACAAAATAGCATACTTTAGTTAAAACAACAGTTTAGTTTGTGAACGATGTATTTGTGAAACATTTCATTTGTACAATTTAGTAAATAACATAGACCTGTGTATGTCGTAAAATGCATAGAACTAACCACAACACGCTTTCAAACTTCCGATATTAAATTAGACGAGATTTAATTAGAAGTTTCGACTGGCTCCCCCCGCCCCCGCCGCTGCGCCCGTGTCGCCCCCGCGGTGCCGTAAACTGCCGATTGTTGGGTAACTTCGTTTTTCATGTTTTCTGTTTATAAACTAGTTTTTTCAGTAACTATTCGTAACGGGACTAAACGTAAGCGTATTTCCGCTTTTTTGTAAAATAAAATTCAGTTTCTAATAATATTTTAAATTCAATATGAATAGTTTTTGGATGTCATATGTCATGTAATATGATCAACTGTTAGTCATCGATATTTAGATACAAAAATAAAGATGTTTTAAAAGTGATAAAAAGATGATGATAGGATAGGGCTGTGTAAGAGCGCGCACCCTCATCTCATTGATTTGATGGAAAGTATGCCCAAAACGCGGAGAGATTTGAGAAATAGATACTCTTTGTATGTCCACCCTTGTCAAGTAAGATAGAATCGAGACGGCATTAGCCTGCAGGGTGTTAGAAACGAAAATAATATTTTTTTTTAATATTTGAAATGTCTCATAAACGAAAGTTATCTTGAAATGTTTATCGATTTTGTAACAAATCAAATATTGATGACAACAAATACAAATACTGTAAGCGACGTATATTTTTCCTCAATTCGTACAGAGCGGCAGGGGGCGCATATCCCGCGCGTTCCATATAACAAGCAAACACAAAGATTGATTGGAGAGGCGCGCCAAATTAAATTTACTCACGCAACGGTAACGCGTCGACTGCTCCTTGCCTTATTTGTTTTATTTCTTATATTTATGTTAAATAGTTTGTAATTTGTTAGGATGAAAATAAATACTTTATTGTAACTTGAAATCATTAGGTTTTATGTTAATTAGATCGGATTAGCCAAATTTGTAGAAGTTGATTACCTAAATGACTAGCTGTTGCTCGCGACTTCATCTAAGTGAAATTAAAAAATAATGAAAACAGCCTATATTATTGATAACGTAGCGTTTTAATGGTGAAATATTTTTTAAATTCGATCCAGTAGTTTGTTTATTTTGATACATACAAAAATACAAACCTTACCTTTTTATAATTTTAGTATACGAGTAGATGAGTACTTCATTGGCTCTCATCAATGTTATAACCGCAATA